AACAACAAATACGATACCCCCACAACCACAGTGAGTACTTACACTAAAAACCACAAACTGAAACACCTGCCGTCGTCGCCTGTACATTCACTTGCATGCATACAGCCAAGCCGATAGGTGAAGAAACATAACACCAATAAAACTTTGAAAAAACGGACCAAGGCAATCTGTACCTGTATTTTTCTCATCCAGAAGTGAGTTGAAATATCGATTTGGAAATGCCTTCGATTTGAGGATTTAGGATAGAGTTGAACAGATTGTAGAATGAAGATGGACTGGAAATTGGGTTTCGTAATGAACGTTTGAAGCCGTTCTAGCAGAAGCAGCAGGATAAAGAGTGGTGGGTAAAGAAACGAAGGTAGACACGCCACTTTATGAACCCGAGGTTGTTGTTCTTCGTTAGTTTGCAGTTTAAAAGTTTGAATAGGCATCAATATGTTCAGAAAAGTTTTTGAGTGAACAAAGTCCCAACTGAATAGACTACTTTACCCTCCTCGCACTTCCCTGCCTGTGCTCAAATGCCACTTTTTTTCTCGCCCACTTCATCGGAATCGTCCCTTCGGAGAGTGAAAAAGTTCAATCATTTCATTCCTTTCATTTCGAGAATTTTGAGAAAGGGAAAAATGAACGGGAGGAATTAGAAATTTGTTACTGCTGCAACAGCGCAATGTTTCAGCTTTTTTTGAAACACTAAATAGACTTAAACTATTTGTACACTGCTTACATACATACTTTTCATATGTAATGTGGTAACCCATCAAAAAGTAATAAGTTTTAAAGTTACAAGGCCAAAAATTTAGATTCTACATCTTTTCTTGACCTAGATTATGTATTGATGTTCGATTGGGAAGGATCTAAGACCCATGAAATAAGAGGCTTTTAAAATATTCCGTCAGGACGCATGTTTTAGATATGAATTGGATTTGAATCGGTTGATAAGTGACTAAGAAGTTATCGAACATACAAAATCTAGCTCGGCATAAATAAATTTTTACACGAGTAATTAGGATGATCCAACTGTTTAAAACAAACTTGATTTAAAGTTGATTTTATACTTCGAATTGCTGCATATTTTTATTATTAATACGTAACATCTTGTGGAAATCGGAAATTGAATTTGTGACATTATAGCAACAGTATTGAAGTTTGGGAGAAGCTACATAAAAGTGCAAGAGGCCCCATAAAAAATGCTTACTTTTTCTTACCCATCTCAACCGTCACCTCTGTTTTCCAATTCAAATACTATCGAATGAAACTTTTATATTCTAGCGAGGTGAATAAATGAATTTGAATGAATCAAGAGTCACCTCACAGAAAGTGTACGACGATAAAGTGTATATTACAATTTCCAGCCTTCATTTACCAACTGGGATGCACACAGTTAACAATGGGATTTGATACAATGACATCAACTGCATATACGTCCAATATGATTGTGGACAAGACTACGACAACTTGGATATGTGACCATCCCTCCATATCCAAACTCTGTCCTGCAAGAGGATTCGTAGGAGCAGTACTTAAAATCCAGGAAATGCATCACCAAATGATCTGTTGACTGGACTCTACTGTGAAACGTGAGCCGGGTCTCTTTCCATCTCAACCCCTACTTTCAAATGAAAAATTATTACGCAAGGATACTTATCAAGAAATAAATCGCTTCAGACTTTCAATTCAAGATTCTAAATTTTACAAAAGAAAAGTCTCATAGAGTCAGTGTTGCATTCAAACACGGTTCGTAACTGAGACTGCAACAAGCAGTTTGAAAGTTGGGCTGCAAGAAGGTTTGAAATTCAACATTAAAGAAGGAGGAGAATTATTTATTTCTTATCAGATAAGCTCGAGCAGCATACGTAATCGAGGATTTACTCCTGTACGGAGAGGAAGATTATTACGGGGTGACTTGTGTTGCGTTGCTGCAATGAAAGATTTTGGGTTTGATTGAGGATTTGGAAATGTTGTAAGTTGTGTTTGGATCACCGCTCAACAACGGCATTTTCAGGACTCGCTGGGATATTTGGACAAAGTATTATTATTTGGAATACAATTGTTGAAATAGTTAGTAATGCGGTAAATGCATGTATGTATGTGTCTGTATGTATGTGTATACGGTGGACCTAAATTTCAATTCTTTCCAGTGACATTTGTAGATTTTTAAGCATGAGTATAAAAGCTCCTGATGTTTGATTTCTTAAGAGATTATTTAGCAGAATCTTTAAAAGCTTGAGGTAAATAAGTATCTGACTGGGACAATATTGATGTATATCTAAACATCTTTTGGCAATTAGAATTTAAAGAATTTTCATTGGATTCACATCACGAATTTTTCGGGAGGACAGAAAAGTTACAACGGACGGATTGATTTAGTACGCAGACCAATAAATTGTGCAAGGTGGTGTGTCTGTCGTTTGACTTTCGCACCTGGGTGTGACCCTCGTCAATCTGATGAAATAACGACAATTAACACATATTGCAAGACTACTCAAAGTTTACGACATTTCAAGAAGAATTTTCAGCAAATTTACATGCAAATGACAACTATTAAGTGGACAAGAGTAATTTATGTCTGCGAGCTTCTTACAAGTATTTTATAGTAAGTGGGTCCACGTGTAATGTAATATATGTATGCATGCACGTCCACGTGAGGGGCTCAAACTTATATACTAATTAATTATTAAGGTAATTGCGGAAACGATTTACAAATTGAAAACAACAAGGAGATGACGAGAGTAAAAATGTGTTTCTATTTCATAAATTTCATTTTATTAATTGTTTTGTTAAAATGCAGGTAGTTGTCTTAAAATGCATTGTTGTATGACTTTTGGTACCCCAACCTTATGCTTGGCAGAGAAGAAACAGTTGTTGCATGCAGATTTTTTGGTGGTTTAATTAATTGTCATTCAAATTTAAGTTGTTTCGGCTGTTGGGAGGATGTCAAAGGAAGAATTCATTAAAACAAGTGACCGTGTACGGCATTCACGAAATTTAGTTAAGTAGTCGTCGAGTCTGGTGAATTATGACAGAAAATCTTGGACTGAACGTGCTTACGAATTTGCATAATTTTCCATTGAATATATGCATATTGCGAGTATACATATAGCGTTGCTTTCGCATGACGTGAAATGTCGACGCTGGTTCGACAACTCCTTTGTGTTACATTATACCTTCTTAAATTTCAGTCGGTGAGTTTTGGACGTTTCTTGCTAATCGACCGTTGACAAATTGCAATTCCGCTCGCCCGTGTCACATTTACATAAGTTTATGTGTTGATTTTAAGTAGTATTTCAATCAAAAGATGATGCATTTTATTGCCGCTGACGTGACATGGACAGTGGTGAAGAAAGGGCTTGTGCGGGATGAGAGATAATTATTTTACGTACTTTTCCCTATAGAATAACGAAAATTACTAATTATTAATTTATTACGGTTCGGTAAAATACGGTTCGGTATAAAATGTGTATTTTCGCAAAATCGCTAATTGTTAAAAATATATGTATTATTAATATTCTTGCGAAAAAGAATTATGAACCAAACACGGAATCAGACAACTACATTTTTAAGTTCAGTTGGAGATGACAACACACAAAAACTTTAGACTCTGTGACATTTTAAAGTCACAACTTTTACATAGTTTGTAAATGCATGAAACTAACGCAGCAGCTGAAAGGAGACTTCCTAGAGTTTTTATGCTAAATGCAGCCACCTTTGCTGACCTTTATGTCCCACATGTTGTATCTAAACCCTTCTAGCACATCTGCTATCTTATTCATGTTTCTATAATGTTTAGATGAAATATTGATTTGAAATACACATTAACATTATTATTCCATATTTCCTTGTCCTTTATGCCTCGCTGCTAATTTGCGAAATGCAAATTGAGATGAGAAAAGTCAGTGAGCATGCAGAAAATGCAAAGCAACCATCTTATCCATTCAAGAGAGGTCTCGTCAATATTCAACCCTATTTTTATTGTTTTTATTTAATTGTGTGGTGGAAAACGCGGCTATAAATACGAGTAGGCAGTCTGCCAAAGCTAATAGTAATAATATATCTGTGCACAATCAACATGCCCCTGCAACATGCAATCTCAAAATCTCAAAATCTTCAGAGATCATCAATCAGACACAAGTGGATTTGATTTGTTGTTTGGATGTGGATGCACTGATGCCGGATTACTCTTTGTAATTTTAATCAGGAATGGACAGACGGGCCCTTATGGGTTCATTACTGGTAAATAATTTGATGTTTCTCCGCTGCCTGTCGAATGCTAAGCAGGCGAAGCCACGTTAACTCAATAATGATGGCAAAAGCCAGAGAGAAAGAAAGACGGCTGAATGAGATGACTATCATCAACCATTCATATTCGGGTAAGGCCACAAATTAAACGAAATGTATTGGAAAGCGTATTATTGGTGGATGTGTCGATCGTCCTGTAAACCTGAAATTTCTGCTTTTCCAATCCTTGGACCTGTTGCGCAAGTAGATAGTTGCGAGTTTAGTAGTAGCGAGTGGTCCGTTGTTTTCGGGGAGAATGGTTAGTTAGTTGGTTGGTAGAGTTGTAATTGACTCGGAAAATAATGCCTTTTAAAATGCTAAATAGCAAGTGTATCATTACACTTAGCATATAAATGAGAATGATTCGAGGCTGAGTGAGGGATGGACAAGACAAGGACTCATTATCATTTTATTGTGATTTTGATTGAATCCTGTCGAGTCGGGGTATTGTGTGTATTGATTGGTAGTGCTGGTGCAAGGTTTGAGTATTATACCGATCTGTCAAGTAGAAGAGTTTTGTGATTTTTCGAAGGCTGAACATCAGAAGTGGAAATACCGTTCAGTTCAGTCGTTCCTTGGAGTTGTACATATCGTACATACACGATATGTTACAGGAAGAGACAGCAGGTGCATCTGCATATGAAGATGTGTAGCGCAGTTAAACTGCTCTGTACAGAGGATGAGATAAAATATTTTCAATGTTACATGGAAAAGGTATCGCAGTATCGTGTGCACTGAAAATTATTTATTTGTCCCATGAATTTGTAATAACATTCGAAGAATATCTCCATATTTTAGCCAATTCCATTTCCCAGATACGTTTTATGCTCACAATTTCCAGTGAACCGACTGTATCTAAATCCCAGTGGACAATTGAGTGGGAGAACTCCTGCTCCTTGACCTTTTCCTGTTCCAGGCTCCCCCTTTCCTAAATTACCCGCAGGACGAGCACGACCAAAATCTTCATCTTCAACAACGCATATTGGGGTCCAATCTGAATCTTGGATTTGATACGTCCCCTCACTTGCTCCCCGGTTAGACAGCCATGGTTGGCGACACACACCTTCGAGACGTTCACATTTCCCAGATGTTTTGTCGTAAAATTTTAAATCATAAGTTAGAACTTCACAAATGGCCCGTTCGCAAAAGGGTCCTTTTTTGGGGTCATTTGTAAAAGCGAGCCAATATCCAGACGGACAATTACTCTGCGTTTAACGAAAATTATTTCAGTTTCAGCGCATGCATTTAAAATTTGACGAATTAATATTTACCTGTTCCAACAAAGGTTGACAGGATCCCCATCGCTTGACATAAGCCAAACTTCTGACCTCGCCTGCCTCAGTGATACCTCTGCAGTAGCTCCTGGGAGCATGATACTTGTTTTCCAAGTAAGCGTCACAGTTGCAATCGCAAAATCCAAAAGGTGAGCCATGCTGAGGAAACATAACCATGTTTTCGGGACACGGTCCTTTTAAACCAGCCAAATAGCATTTCCCAGTTTCTTCAAAGTAGACGAAAGGGATTCCAAAGAGTGGGCTAAAATCATAGTGCATGAAATCCATAAAATAACACCTTCAATTCTGACTTCAATTATGTAACCTAGTTGAAACACTTAATTCCACCAATAATCACTTACTCTGGGCAACTTGAGCCACTTTGAATTCCGACGTTGTCTTTCCCACCCTCAATAAAAACACTGTCGTCAGAATTGGGTCTCCTGGATCTTGAACTTGGTTGATAATTGTTGTGGGCAACTTTATAGTTAGAAATTTGTGCGACAATCACACTGGGTGTCGCAAGCCCCACGAGTAATGAAAAAACAAATGGTGTCATTTTTAAAATTATTTGTAAAACTAATACCAACTCACGAACTGTGGAGAGAAATCTAGCATTTTAAACTGATTGTATTACGAAGTTATTACACATACCCGATCCGATGCCCATGTAGAGTTGTGGACTGAGGCAAGTAAAGATGGTAGGCGAGCGTGAGAACTTTACAAGTTGTGTTGGAGAAGCGTAATAAAAATTGGTAAGTTTTGCAGGATGGATGGCATAATTAGCAATAAAATCTGTCTCGCTCACTCCTACAACTTGTTCACTTTACTTGCGCCTTTACAATATCTAACATCGGGCAAGGTCAACTTCTTGGAGTGGCATTTTCTTATTCCACCTTCGGATTCATGGTACTGATGACGTATGTATGTATGTACTGATACCTATGTATTTAAATGAATTACGGCCTATAATTAACACTAATGCACAGCAACGTATCGTCACTTATATATAATTCATCCACATTAGACCAATTCTGTGCACTCGAAATATTTAAGTTTAAGGGATATATACTGCTAATTAATTGCTAGTTGGTGATTTTAAATATTACTGGTTTCATACACTTACATGTGCATGTGGATAGATATCAATTTTCTACCCGCGTGCCATTAAAAATTGAAAGTATGAAATGTATGTAGATTAACATTTGTTCTAATTTTGGAGTGAAGGGAAGGATGGTTAACCTCTTGCCAACTGGTATACATAATATGCCTTTATTTCTCTGGAAGTTTTTGGAACGATGCATAGTCGTTATGCAATCGTAGAAGCATGGACATAAAGAAGAATGCTCTGGATGACACTCAAATGCAACTTCGTCCTAATGGAATAAGGCAAAGGCTCTTTAAATAACATTTTAGCAGTGGCTCCTCGCCAACCAACTAAATCATGAAGCACCTTGGAAAGAAATATTTAAATATTAATAATCCAGACAGAAACGTTTATTAAACTTTTTGCGCAAAACATAAGTAATGTAATGTAATTTGACGCAACTTTGAAGCCGTTTGGCTCTAACCGAATGATCCTGGTCATAAACCAAATGGCTGTATTTCGAATCATGAATCTTTTAGAAATTTGGGATAGTGCCATAATGGTTAAATGGAATCTTCCAGGTGAATTATTTCCCAGACTGTGCAGCCCCAGGACACATACATACGTCGTTGCTGCTCTTGCAAAAAATTTGACTATTAATGAGAACCACCAGACTTTGCTAATTAGACTTTTCATGACCCATTTCTACCCTGTGTGTTCATTATAATTTTTACTTTCGTAGAAGAAAACTATGCGTATTACACTTCTTTGAAAAATTGTGCATGAAATAATGTATCTATATTCCACCAGCTAAAAAATATTACTTTCTTTGGTCAGCATATGTCTCAAAATCAAAACCGGTCCGGCATTCTTAATTGTGCTGTGAATTTGTGGTTACTAAACGCGTGCTTTGGATGTAAGTATGCATACTATTATGTAGCTCCCAGGTCAGCTACCAGGAAAAAAATATGTACCACCAGAAAAAAATTTGCACTTTTCATAGATTTTTGCATTGTACTTTACATACTCTCAAGTTCAAAACCATGAACAGCACACACCCACATATTTAATTTCGCACTGTCTCCTCAACCAAGTAAATGTTACTCCACCAGAAGACGACACCATCTAATTTATTTAGCAACATGTACATACATAAGAATACAAGAAAACATTTTTATAAAATACTGTATTGATTTTCATGCTGTTCATTAAAAATTCAATTATCTTTTACGATTTGAAAGCATTTTAATTGCTCATAAACAAAAATCAAAACAGATAAAGCATTGAGTTCAAAAAAGCCAATGGAATTTTCCTTTCATTAACTCATTAACCTGTGTTTTAAGAAAGTAATTTATTTTTGGAGTGGTCAGACAGAGCCCAACAACTTATTAGTATTTGTGCATCGTCGTATATGCAACGCGGCGCACAGTAGCTGTAAAGTTCTTTATCTGGCAGCCAAAATCTCATTTCTCGATCCTCCGTCTAGAGCGAACAACAGTAGCCGATTTAATTTCTAAAATGTCAAAACAGTTTTAAATATTGACTCTGATGAAATCAAAATATCAAATCTATAGCTGCATAGACTTCGTACTCCAGCAGCGACATGCTTATGCACACATGTGTTATATAACGTAACGTAATAATGACTGACGATCTCTTCCTTCCGACGATATCCTTCGTGGCAGTTACGAATAAATGCGTCTAGTTAGCAATTCTTATTTCAAAAGTTTTTGTCAGTTCAAACCAAATCAATGCCGGTCGATTCCTGCAATTGATCTCATTAATATTAAAGCAAGATCAATGCCGCGTTTACCAACCATGCAACCTGCTTTACCACCGAGGACTTGTCAGTGCAATCTCCTTCTTCCTCTTAATGTAATCCCATTAATAATGAAAATCTACATGCATATATTCACATGCATGGCAGCCCAATAAGCCTTCTGGATGTTGATTGAAGGGTAAAGTAAGTGATGTAGCGTTGCTTCTGGATTTCTAAAGGAACAGTTTTTTTGTGCATACATGTTTCATTCTGGATGCGATGCGATATTATGTAATATAAAATAAACAATCCCTGCTGGGCAGCGTCTTCTGTTAATTGGATTCCTTAATATGGAAATCAGAGAGAGAAGGGCTTAGCAAAAACTGTTTCTGAATATCCATTTCCTTCATTGTACACCCTTCCAATATTTCGAGGCATGTCCATCCTGAACATTTTACCCGATGCATCTTGAGGATGCAATGTCAGGGACCATTTCTTTTGTTGCTCAACACCTCACTCATCCTCAGTGGCTGAGATTTGAAGGAACTGCCTGCAATCAGAGTCATAAGAAGCTTCCTATCCGACCGTCAATCAAGTTGATCATTTTCCAATAGTATTATTTAGACACTTCGACATTATCTCATGAAATGCATATAAATATATGGATTTACGTATATTAGAGTCTAAACAGAGACAAACCTTTGTATGTTGAATAGTGGCTACTGATAAATATATTTCAAAAATAGAATTGTACAGTAAACTTAAAGTTTATGAACTAATAAAAATAAATTTGAATCCTAACCAGAATTTTTTTTAAATCTGATTAAATTCTCTGCACAGATCTAACCTAACCAACAATTTCGTGCTGCTTCTGAGTATTTTTTTTTTTACTTATTTTCTAGACTTTTAAGAACTTCGTAGAGTCGAAACATCAAGAGGTCAAGCGAGGTCTAGAGTGTCATCGAATAAAATGTGCATATGTACATCCCGGTCATGCATGCATATGTTAGTTGCACAGCATGACATGGTGGAAAAAAGGTAGTAGAGTTTGCTGTCAAAAGTAATTATTTGTTAGTACAATATGACACTGTGAAATTAACTTGAGCAATTTGCTCCCAAGTTTAAAAAGATGGTTCCTGTCTGCAGTATTTTATTTATTTAAGATGCGTGATGACGAAGGGAAAAAATATTTTTAAAATTGCTAATGCAACTGCCACATTTGGACTCACGAACTAACAGAACGAGATTAATTGCAAATGGATATTGAAGGCAAAGTGGTGGTATCCATAAAAATTAGACATAAATAAGTACTTACATTTGCTCAAAGCTCAGCTCCTAAGACTAAGCATATATTTTATATATGTGTGCAAATAACTATGTACGTTTTACGGCAAAAAAACTGGCAAAATACCGTAGATATACATACATACGTACGACGTGTCCAACTGGTTGATCCGTAATTTGGTTTTGCATTTGGAAATGGAAAAGCCTGTTTGAAAATCTTCAATCTGTGATAAATTAATGAGCGTTATTAAATAACAAAGATGATGTGAGGTTCGATTACTCATTATAGAATATTGCAAAATCTCTGTGCCAACCAAAATCGTAGTTTACTCAGAAAGAAGTGGACGCTTGTATAATGAAGAATTCTGGGATAAAATAATAAAAATAAAATATAGAAACAGTTTATGTGCGGAATACAGGAATCCACATGTCCGCCTTTCGTTTGAGACTGGTTTGTTCAGAAACGAGAATAATGTGTCTACACTACTTGTGGACTACACGCAGTCCGTTTTAAGGAATGAACAAGGAAGCAAAATGGGCTGATTGTTGAAACCCTGCAACTACCGTGCAACTAATGAAAATTACAAAACGTTACGTATGTTTGCCTGTAAAGGTTGAGGATTAGCAAAACTGTACAAAACAAGATAATGGATAGACATGCTGGTATCTGATTGTGAATTTTGATACCTGCAAAACTCAACCAACTTTACGCGATCACAAATCTTTCAAAATCGCAACTTCAGACAGACTTACTCATCTTGAAATCTGTCATGAACGAGGAGATTATAATCTAAAATTGGTTAAACAGCAACATCCAGGTAGGGTAGGTGGCTGATTGTTGTACCAGGATCAATTCATCATGACAAAAACTGGTAGCTGTGCAGTTTGATTAGACTTTTTCAGTTTTATTTGTTTGCAAAATATGCATAGAAATTTGAATGCACAAAAATTCGGACCATACCCAAGTTACATATGTAAGTACATATGACGTACCAGAGTTGGCATGCCCAATTAGTAATGCGAGGACGGAATGATACATAGCAGATAAGACAGACAACAAAGTTTTTATAGCCGGAAACTGAAAGATGCATATCTTTGTATGTATTATTAGAAAATCGTCCAATCAATACCAATCAGCGGAACTACATTCTCTCGAAAATTCATCATCTATGAAGACCATATTTTTAAATCGTCGCTGATGTGTTCTGTGAGCAGTGTTTTTATAAATTAAATGCAACTCACAAAAAACTACAATTTTGAGCCAAAAATGAAAGCCTGGCACTTAAAATGAAACCGTAGCAAAAAGATAAGTGTGAGACTGCGGAATTCAGTTTGAAATAGGTTTCTTCGCTATCCTCGGGCAAATTGCTTTTAATTCGCTGCGCATAAAATTGGATCTGATTTCAAGTTGACGATGGATAATGTACATGCATCGGAAATTACACTGTTTGATTTCATGCTCACACTCGCAGAGTGCTTATAAATAGACACATGCTCACATTCTCAACGTTTTATATATTTTTTTTTAACTTTTTTTAAAAATCACATTAAAATGTCAAAGAATGGCCGACTGGTCATACAACTAATATGAGTCACTTTTTATGATCTCATAGATAAAAGTATTAGTAACTGTTGTTAAACCAATTTTGTTGGCTTAAAATCGCAACTCAATGTTCACCTTCACCAGGCTTTAATACGATGGAAATGTGGACATAATCCCGAGTAATCCCTTAAAAAATATGTGGCTCCGAATAATTTGACTGAATAACAAAGCAGACATATGAATTTTCAACTCTGCATCTCATCTTTTCTGTGATGGCGTAGAGTCAAGTGAGAGAATGGGACACACAAAAGATGACGGACGACTTAAAATTTATTTCAAAATGTTCACATTTTAAATTCTCTGATTTATACCAGAATTCAAATCACTTATCAAGATCGTAGTCTTGAGACGAGTTGCGTCCTTCTCTTCGTGTGCTGAGCCGTGAGCCCCTAATTTGTTCAACAATGCATTTTGACAGTTTTTAATACCGCGATGGCCTCCTCTAAACATCCATCACAGTCCAACGACAATCGTCTCTAAGTTTTTTTCTACAAAGTCGTTTATGTTTATATAGTTTCATGCATACGTAATTTTTAGTTCAACATATGAATTTTCATCTTTTAGCCATACAATAATCACTCGTTAACGAAAGTTCATATGAACACCTGCTTATTCTGTGCCTTTCCCTCAGAGTACGTTACCGTCTTTCGGTGTAGGTTTGTCTGAAAAAGGACTTTTACTTGTGCAGATGATGAGAAAGGGTGGTTTATACTGTTCGGTGTGTCCTATTGTGCTTACATGGCTGCTGACTCCGCCAGAATATTGTGAGAGTCGGGGCGTAAGAGAGTGACGAGAAATAGTGTGACCACGACCAGTAGTGCCGAGAGTAGAATTTGATATGAAAAAGTTACCAGAAAGATGGGCATAATAATGGCCGAGCAAGCAAGTGGAGAGACAATGCTTGTCATGTCCTGTCACCAGTTTTATTGAGCTTCTCTTCTCTTGTACTTAACTAACTTGCCTTTCTTGACTTAACTTTAAAAGTAAAGCAAATATTTAACACTCGTTTTTTGCATAAAAATGACCATCTTTGTGCCATACGCTTGGTAAATGTGTTTGTGTGGTTGGACAAATGACCTTTTTTGCAGGTTTCCACTTACCCGAGAGAGAGAGGGTTGGTGGACTTTTCTTTATGTTAGTGGCAAGCATTATCGCAGTTACGGTCGTTCGTTGTTACTGGCTGCTTAAACACTCTACTCCGCAGCTCTCGAGAGCAAATTACTTTGTCGCCTGATGAGCAAAGGCTCGTTTGTCCAAGAATCGAAAACTTTTTTGTGTTTGTTTAAACTTTTTACTAAAGTTTAAGTTGACTTGGGAGTAAATAAAGTGGAATTGGTATTTGCATATTCAACAGGGAGTCGTGATGTTTGGTTTGTATTAGGAGAAATACTATGCTAAAGGAAGGCTCAATATGCATGCGGAATATTGTGGAAGGACCAGCTAAGTATATCCTTGTGTCATCCTTTTGCTCTTAGCAATCAATTTAGAATGGTTCGGGTTTGCTCAAATTAGAGTGAACTTTGATTATATAGTAAATCTAATGGGTGATCAATACAACGAATGGGACGCATATAAATAAATTTATTTACTTTACATACATATTAATTGAATACGACCCGTTATTTTATTTGCACTGCAATTTGCGGGAGAAAGGCAACAACAGGACTTGGACACCAACGTATATAATTTTTGCTTCTGTAATCACCTTTCCTTCAAGTTTAAGATATTGTACATTTTGATGGTGCTCATGAAGAGAAAGATGTTGCAAGTTTCTTGCAGTATTTAATAGGCAGTCAACAAAGGTTTTCAGCATCGCTAAAAAATAATCTTGCATTAAGGAAGCTAATTTTCGCAGTATCCTCTTATTCTGCATGGTGTATAAAATTGAACTCGAGTTATGATAATAAATAACAGCCATTGCGTGGCAAATATAATTCTACTTCATTATTGACAATAATAAGGTTTCTCCACCCACCTTCTACAAAGACGAGTAAAGTGCATTCACTTCACTTTATTGCTCGCATCATTTGCTCAAGAAATATGCATAAATCTCGTTTGCTTCACCTTAAAATATGGTTAAATTCGCAAAGTGTCAATTGTCATCGCTCAGCAAAATCAAAGTCAACGTCAAGCCAATGACCGTACCATGGCTTTTATGTCGTTTGGCAAATAATTGTACGAGCTGAGGCAGAAGAAAAAGAAGCTGGTCTGTCAAACTCATTTGGACAGTTGTTTGACTGAACAAACTAGTCTCAACAATTTATAGCAACTCTGCAAACTCAGTCACAGTATCCTTCGTGTTTTTAACTACTTTAACATTTGCAACTCATGAAAAGTAAATCCATTGGCAAATTGTCTTGTTTTTGACTGTTATGGACATAAATCCTTGCAAATTTAAAACAAACTTCAAAGTTATTATTGAATTCAGCTACAAAAATATGACAGTGGTTGAGAAATGCCAATATTTGATGACATAAACTCAACGTCTTTGCGTTATCGCCACTGATCACGCTTGCTATTTACCACAAATCTTAAAGCTAAAGTTAATTGTCAGTTGCGTGATGGCAAGTATTGTGTTTCCAATTGAGTCAATTCT